GGTAGTATTTATGCATTATAGGCTTATAAGAGTGTTTGTGTTATTATGGTATTATTACTATAGTATTATGGTTGTATTACATATCATAGTGTTATTTATTATTGTATCTAATTAGTGTTTTTAACATAGTGTTATGTTCGGTGTAAGTAGTGTTATTTTGGTGTAATCATGGTTTTATTATACTAGTATTTTTTGTATTTTTATCTTTGAAGTATACTTTTGTGTTATTATGGTATTATTTATGTGGTATTATGATTGTATTATGTATTATGTTGTTATTGATTTATCGTTACGTACCAGCATGATTTTATTTACTAATTGGTTACGTTGAAGTGTTATTTTGTCAATCTAATGGTGAAATGTTTGAAAGTTGTAGCTCTCCGAGCCTTTAACTGTGTGCATTGACTCTTATTGAATATATTAATTGGTTTTGTTTAAGTGTTATTTTTGTCATTCTAATGGTGATATGTTGAAATTTGCAGTTCCTCAAGCCTGTAACTGTGTGCATTGATCCAATTGCGGAAAGCTTGTTTCGCGCAGTGGTTCATAATGAGAAGGAAGCCTATGAACAATATTGTGCATGTGTACACCAAATTGGATTCACTGTGCGAAAAGATCACGTTAGTTTTTGGGCGAATTAAAAATTGATTAAGACATAGGATTTCATTTGTGGTAAGGCTGGTTTCAAGAAAGAATTGAATAACAATGTGACAGTGAAGTACAGAAGAGGGGACACAAGGACTGGTTGTCCAGCCATGATCCGATATGTCGTCGATGTAGAAGGTAACTGGTCGGTTAAGAAATTTATAGAAACTCATAACCATCCTTTGGCGGCAGACGGTAACAAACATCTATTGCGTTCCAGTAGAAAAATGAGTGATGTCAGTGCACAAGTGCTCAGATCAATGACAAAATCAGGGATCAGGGGATGTCATAATATTTGACACAAGTTATAGATTAAATAAATACAATTTATGTTGTGCTCCTATTGTTGGTGTGAACCACCACTGGCAGAACGTTCTATTTGGAGTTGGCTTTTTGTCAGATGAAACAGTTGAATCATTCAAGTGGTTATTCAAATCATTTATTCGAATTATGGACAACAAGCACCCGATGACAATATTCACTGATCAGGATCAAGCAATGGCCAAATCCATTGAAGAGTGCCTTCCGCACACAAGACATAGATTATGTCAATGGCATATTTACAAGAAATTATCTTCAAAACTACATTGTGGTGTAAGCACTAAGAAAGTCAATGAGCTTTTTTATAAATGCATGGTTAGGTGTAACTCTGAGGAGGAGTTTGAAGAAACTTGGCATATAATGATTGTGTTACGAAATCTATATGAGAATGCTTGGTTGATTAGCTTGTACAATATCAGGCATAAGTGGTCAACAGCTTTCAATAAGGAAATATTTGGGATGGGGATCCTTTCAACACAAAGGAGTGGGCCGACGAATAACATTTGTCATAATGCCTCTAAGCCAACAAGCACCCTCACTGAGAGTTTCTTGGGTCTTGAAAATGTCATGAAAGCTTGGAGAAGGAATGAGAGGGATGAAGATTTTAAATCTGAACAGTCTGCAATCGTTCCCGTTGTAAAAAGTAGTTCTGTGTTGAGGCAAGGAGCTTTAGTTTATATGAGGAAGCTATATTCAATGTTTGAAGCAGAGTTGTTACATGGTATGTGTGGTCTTGCTATGGAGTGCTTAGCCAGTTCAAATTCAGAATTTTATGTTAAAAATTTAGATAATGAGCGCACAGTCAGACCGTGGATTGTTAAGGTCGATAAAGGTAATTCTGAAATTACATGCAGTTGTAAAAAATTTAAAATGATGGGGATATTATGTTATGACACTCTAAGAGTGCTTAACCATGAGAATATAATAAAGATCCCTGATAAATATATTTTATGGCGGTGGTCGGTTCATGCAAAGAGGGATATATATAACAACTATGGTAATAAACATTTGAAAGATTCACAAACTTCAGCAACTTGTTTGAGTGGTCTCATATATCGAACACACGTTCATATATTTGCATACCGGATCAACATATTAACTTAAGGTAATGAACTTGCTGAAAAAAAATGTGCTGGAAACATTAAGGAAACTAGCACTCGAATCTGAAGTCATATTAAATGGGAGAGACCATCAAGAAATGTCAATGTCAAAAAATAAAAAAACACCGAATAAACCACACAATTTGAAGGACCCAACAAAGATGCGGCCAAAAGACGTTTCTAATGTTATGTTAAAAGGCTTTTGGGAGAAGAATAACCGATCAAAAAGTCCGATCAAAAAGTAAGAAAAGTGTTATTTAGGTTATATTCTTCTATTGTTTTGGATGTACGCTGAATTACAGCTCACTAACATGACACATTGTTTGTTACGTACGCTGAATTACAGCTCACTAACATGACACATTGTTTAACAGGAAAGGATAAAGAAGTTGTTTCAAGTCAAGAAACATTTCACCCATCAAATCCAAGTGAATTTTCAATGTCGGATCAGTATACTCAGGTACATAACTTAAAGTTTGAAACATTTTATGCTGTGTGATCTAATTCCGAATTGACATATGTACTTATATTCATATGTGATTGCTTGAAATTAGCAGGAATTGCCTGCATCACTGCCCACAGACACATACACAAGCTTATTGATGGACCTAGATGATGATGTGTGAAATACCAAGTAATTGAAACGATCTATTGTTTGTAATTTTAGAATTAATGTATATTTTGCAGAGCATAATGTCGTTTGTGTTGAATAATACTCAAATATTCCCGAAGTAATACCATAATATCATATCTGGCTTGTTCAGAGGATAAATAAGTAATTCGACTACTATGTAGCATCTACTACGAATAAGATCCGTGGAATTTAAAATATTTTGAGAATTTATCTTAATTTTATCTCTAGTTTGCGATGAATAATACCAAAATATTCCCGAAGTATTACCGCAATACAACCAAAATATATACGCACGCTGGCGGAGGAATATATCTCGGTTTTATTGGAATATTCCTTTGTTGGATTTGCCAGTCCGCGGTTGTATCAAGGTTGTACCGAGGATAAATAAATAATACGACTACTACATAGCATCTACAAATGATTAAATGGCATTTGAATAAGATCCGTGCGATTTAAAATATTTTGAGAATTTAACTTAATTTTATCTCTCGTTTGCGCTGAATAATACCAAAATATTCCTGAAGTATTACATCAATACAACCAAAATATATACACGCGCTGGCGAAGGAATATATCTCGGTTTTATTGGAATATTCCTTTGTTGGATTTGCCAGTCCGCGGTTGTATCAAGCTTGTACCGAGGATAAATAAATAATACGACTACTACATAGTATCTACGAATGATTAAATGGCATTTGAATAAGATCCGTACGATTTAAAATAATTTGAGATTTTAACTTAATTTTATCTCTCGTTTGCGCTGAATAATACCAAAATATTCCCGAAGTATTACCGCAATACAACCAAAATATATACGCGTGCTGGCAGAGGAATACATTTCGATTTTATTGGAATAAACCTTTGTTGGATTCGTCAGTCTGCGGTCGTATCTAGTTTGTACCGAGGATAAATAAATAATACGACTACTACATAGCATCTACAAATGATTAAATGGCATTTGAATAAGATCCGTGCGATTTAAAATCTGACATTTGAATCAGATCCGTGCGATTTAAAATATTTTGGGAGTTTAACTTAATTTTATCTCTGGTTTGCGCTGAATAATACCAAAATATTCCTGAAGTATTACATCAATACAACCAAAATATATACACGCGCTGGCGAGCGCTGGCGGAGGAATATATCCCGGTTTTATTGGAATATTCCTTTGTTGGATTCGCTAGTCCGCGGTCGTATCTGAGGATAAATAAATAATACGACTACTACATAACATCTACGAATGACTAAATGACATTTGAATAAGATCCGTG